ATGCCAAGGTCGAGGGTCACAAGGTCGAGGGTCACAAGGTCAAGGGTCACAAGGCCAAGAATCACAAGGCCAAGAGTCACAAGGCCAATGGTCACAAGGCTAAGGGTCACAAGGCTAAGTAAGGGTCACAAGGCCAGGGGTCACCAAGCTTGGGGCATAGCCCGGGCCACAAGGCCAAGGGTCACAAGGTCGAGGTCGAGGGCCACAAGGTCAAGGGTCACAAGACTAAGGGTCACAAGGCCAAGGGTCACAAGGTCAAGGGTCCCAAGGTCGAGGGTCACCAGGTCACAAGGCCGGGGGTCGCCAAGGTTGGGGCATGGGCTGGGTCACAAGGCCAAGGGCCGCAGAGGTTGGGGCATAGCCAGGGCCATAAGGCTAAGTGTCACAAGGCTAATCGGGCAAGGCCAGGGGTCACGAAGGTTGGGGCGTAGCCAGAGTCACAAGGCAAAGGGTCACAAGGTCGAGGGTCACAAAGCCCAGCGTCACAAGGCCAAGGGTCACAAGGTCGAGGGTCACAAGGCCCAAGGTTACAAGGTCAAGAATCACAAGACCAAGGGTCACAAGGCCAACGGTTACCAGATCAAGGGTCACAAGGTCGAGGGTCACAAGGTCGCAAGGCCGGGGGTCACCAAGGTTGGGGCATAGCCAGGGTCACAAGGCCGAGCCCAGCAAGGGTCACAAGGCGGAGGGTCACAGGCCAGGGTAGCAAGTGCGAATTACAATCTGGTGTCACACGTTGATTCACCAACCTGCAACAGTAACGCAAGAGGGCCCAGTTCTTCCCGGCAGTTGTCACGGGGGGCACAAGCGCCAAGGCCACAAGGGCCACTAGCGCCAGGGTCACACGCGCCAGGGTCACAAGGGTCACAAGCGCCAGGGTCATAAGCACCGGGCCACACGGATCACAACGACGATGACAGGTTCACAAGGGTCACTAGCGCCAGGTCACAGTCAGAAAGGTCACAAGGGTCACAAGCGCCAGGGTCACAAGCCCCGAGATCACAAGCCCCAGGGTCACAAGCGCCAGGGTCACAAAGACAAGGGTCACGAGGTTCACAAGCGCCAGGGCCACAAAGGTCACAAGCGCCGGAGTCACAAAGGCCACAAGGGGCACAGCGACGACGACCGGGTCACATGGGACAGGGTCACGAGCACAAGGGTCGTAATGGTCACAAGCACCAGGGTCACCAGCGCCAGGGTCACAAGCCCCAGGGTCACAAGGGTCACAAGCCCCAAGGTCACAATCCTCAGGGTCACAAGCGCCAGGGTCACAAGCACAAGGGTCGCAAGGGTCACAAGCGCCAGGATCACAGAGGTCACTAGCGCCAGAATCACAAGGGTCACGAGCGCCAGGGTTTCAAGGGTCACAAGCGCCAGGGTCACAAGCCCAAGGTCACAAAGGTCACCGGCGCCCGAGTCACAAGGGCCACAAGGGGCACAGCGACGACGACAGGGTCACAAGGGACAGGGTCACGAGCACAAGGGTCGTAATGGTCACAAGCACCAGGGTCACCAGTGCCAGGGTCACAAGCGCCAGGGTCACAAGGATCACAAGCCCCAAGGTCACAATCCCCAGGGTCACAAGCGCCAGAGTCACATTCACAAGGGTCGCAGGGGTCACAAGCGCCAGGATCACAAAGGCCACTAGCGCCAGAGTCACAAGGGTCACAAGCGCCAGGGCTTCACAAGCGCCAGGGTCACAAGCCCCAAGGTCACGAGCCCCAGGGTCACAAGCGCCAGGGTCACAAGCGCCAGGGCCACAAGCACAAGGGTCACAAGGGTCACAAGCGCCAGGGTCACAAGGGTCACAAGCGCTAGGGTCACAAGGGTCACGAGCGCCAGGGTCACAGGGGTCACAAGCGCCAGGGTCACAAGGGTCACAAGCACCAGGGTCACCAGCGCCAGGGTCACAAGCGCCAGGGTCACAAGCATCACAAGCCCCAAGGTCACAATCCCCAGGGTCACAAGCGCCAGGGTCACATTCACAAGGGTCGCAGGGGTCACAAGCGCCAGGATCACAAAGGCCACTAGCGCCAGAGTCACAAGGGTCACAAGCGCCAGGGCTTCGCAAGCGCCAGGGTCACAAGCCCCAAGGTCACGAGCCCCAGGGTCACAAGCGCCAGGGTCACAAGCGCCAGGGCCACAAGCACAAGGGTCACAAGGGTCACAAGCGCCAGGGTCACAAGGGTCACAAGCGCTAGGGTCACAAGGGTCACGAGCGCCAGGGTCACAAGGGTCACAAGCGCCAGGGTCACAAGGGTCACAAGCGCCAAGGTCGCAAGGGTCATAAGCGCCAGGGTCACAAGGGTCACAACGACGACGACAAGGTCACAAGACCCAAGGTCACAAGTGCCCGGGTCACAAGCACAAGGCTCAAAAGCGTCGCAGGCGCCAGGGTCACAAGCGCCAGGGTCACAAGCGCTAGGGTCACAAGCAGCAGGATCACAAGCGCCACAAGCCCCAGGGTCACAAGCGCCAGGGTCACGAGGGTCACAACGACGACGACACGGTCACGAGACACAAGGTCACAAGCGCCAGGGTCACAAGGGTGACAAGCGCCAGGGACACAAGGGCCACTAGCGCCAGGGTCACAAGGGCCAGGGTCACAATCGCCAGAGGTCACAAGCGCCAGCGTCACAATTGCCAGGGTCAGAAGCGCCAGGGGCACAAAGGTCACAAGCGCCGGGGTCACAAGCACAGGGATCACAAGGGTCACAAGCGCCACGGTCACAAGGGTCACAAGCGCCAGGGTCACAAGCGCCAGGATCGCAAGCGCCAGGGTCACGAGGACCACAACGACAACGACAAGGTCGGAAAGGGTCACAAGCGCCAGTGTCACAAGCACCAGGGTCACGAGGGTTGCAAGCACCAGGGCCACGAGCGCCAGTCACAAGGGTCGCAAGCGCCAGAGTCACAAGGGTGACAAGCGCCAGGGTTACGAGGGCCACTAGCGCCAGGGTCACAAGAGCCAGGGTCACAAGGGTCACAAGACACAAGGTCACCAGCGCCAGGGTCACAAGCACAAGGCCCACCAGGGTCACAAGCGCCAGGGCCACAAGGGTCGCAATCGCCAGGGTCACAAGCGCCACGGTCACAAGCACCAGGGTCACAAGCGCCAGTGTCACAAGCGCCAGGGCCACAAGGGCCACAACGACGACGACAAGGTCACAAGACCCAAGGATCACAAGGGCCAGGGCCACAAGCACAAGGGCCACAACGGGTCACATGCGCCAGGGTCACAAGGCTCACAAGCGCCAGCGTCACAAGGGTCACAAGCACAAGGGCCACAAGGGCACCGGAAAGATCATGGGACGCACCGGGAACTTCAGAGAACCGGGCTACTAAAGGCCAAAGGGCTGCACTGGAACCATATACCACTGGGCCAGCAAAGGCCAACATTGGCAAGGGCCACCACAGTGCCTGGCCAATCCCCCCATTTTTGTAAGGCGATGCCGAAAGAGGGCACAAACAATGTCTCATTTATCATCGAACACCAAGCTTAGTGCCACAATGTTTGGAACTCTAGCATCCAATTGCTGTTCAGAAGCACGACACGCTGCAACGCTCTATCATCCAATGATTTGATTGCGCGCTTACTACATATGGGGAGAGATATTTATATGTACTCGCATCCGCTGGCCTCAATACACACAGTATGCACATCCATGGCATCGCCGTGGCTGTGGATGCAGCCCGTGGAAGCCACGGGCGCAATGGGGGTGGCGAGGAGCCGGGGGCGAGGAGGCCTGCAAGCTGCCCAGCCCTGGCGCTTCTCTTCAACAACGCAGCTGCACAGGGGGGGTATCAAGGGCTGGCTGGCTAGAGCTCGGGCAAAGCAATGCTGCTGCCAATGCAAATTAATCGCAAAATGTTGACCAGCGCCTTCTGTCACCGATGGCGGAAATCTGCAAGAGGAGCGGCAGCAGCTGGCGGCAGCAGCCAGGGAAGCAGTCGAAGCCTGCGACACCTGTCGGCGCTTTCCCCGGGGACTAAGAAGCGCGGGAAGCCGGGAGCCGCCGCCGCGCCCGGCGCGCTCCAGCTCGTTGTGACCCTCCTCTTTCAGACCTTCCTCCTTGTGACCCTCCCCCCTTTGACCCTCCTCCTTGTCACCCTTCCCTGTGGCCCTCGCTGGGGGCGGCCGGAAGTTCCGGGGGAGACGGGAGTGGCCAGGAGCAGCCTGGCGCCGCCCGCGACATGCCTAGTCGGGCGTGCTTGCCCAGGAAGCGTGGGAAACAGGGAACGCTCGGAGAACAGAGGCGGAGAACAGATGCGCAAGGAGTAGCCGAAGCTCGCGGGGGGGCGGGGGCGGGGGCAATACATCATCGCGGATCTTCCAACATATGCGACAGCATATGTTTGTTTGTCCATGTTGCCTTAGCCATTTTGATCCCCAGAATGAAGGCATCCGCATACGACCCACCGACCTTCCTCGCGTGAGACACCTTAACGACGCACGGTTCTGCTCGTTAAGGGTAAAGGTCATCCGCTGAATGGCGACGCTCGAAGAATTCGAGTTGGCTTGTCCGGATTGCGATGGGCCCGGACTATACGCAATCCAGGATGGACACCGCTTGCGAGCAGGTGTGACAAGCAAGATTTCCCGCTTCGCGCGGCGACAACGTACTCCGTTCCCTCCCTCCGAGGGCTCCGTTCCCCCCCTCCGAGGGCTCCGTTCCCTCCCTCCGAGGGCTGACTCCAAAGGAGTGTCAGTTTGAAGCCGGCGCTGCGCGCGACGTGACCCAAGGCATGCTCGAGGCTGCGCGAGGAAGCGTCCTTACTGCTTCAGAAATCCATCGCCGCGCTCAACGCTTTCGCTCACCAGTGAGAGGCGAGTCTGCGGCCTCCACCCGACTCGAGAGCTCAGACAGCGGACGCCGACCCAGGCCGTCGCAGGAGCACCTGCCGCCAACATTCCGGCGGCTTTTGAACAACATCGGCGCAGACGATTAAAGCCATGGCCTCCTTCTCCGAATTTGTCCGCTTCTGCTCAACACCGACAGGCTGCGACAAAGGCGGCCTCTACGCGACTCAACCGCGCGGGCTGCGCGGCTCCCCCATAAAGATCGGTTATTCTTTCGACCTTTTGCGGCGCCTGTCTGACGGGGAATGCAATTATCCAGAAGGTATTGACATCTTAGCCGTGGCCAGGATGAACCGGCCGAACGATACTCACTTCCACAAGCGCCGCGTGCTCCAGCCCGCGGAATCTCTGTTGAAGCAGGAGCTACGGCAATACGTCGCGGCGAGGGAAGAATGGCTACAGCCGTGGGCCAAGACCGCGACGTTGGCGGCCATGCGTCGCCTCCAGCTCTCGCCGAGCCCCAACCTCGCTGGGAATTTCCTCGACGCCGCACAAGACCCAGGCGCCTTGGGAGCACGCGCTAGCCCCCTCCAGCACGCGACGTCGGCGCGCGCAACCGAGCGCTGCTGCCACCACGCAGCGTGCAGAGCCGCCAGCACAGGTAGTCTGGCCCTGCCACCTTCGGCGCAAGGGCGTGGAGCCGAAGTGCGAGGCGCATGCTCTGTGCCACTGGGAGCGCGCGCCGCGTGGGCGCGGCAGATGCGTGGCGGGCGCCCCGACAAGTCGAGCCCGAGCAAGAGGACTGTGCAAAACATGTACGATCAACGGCCTCCACGCAAGCCGCCGAAGAGCATGGACCTTGATGCAGAAGAATCACGCAATCCAAAAACATATTTGGGGTAAAACATCTGGCCGTGTCGAAGGCTCGCTGAAGCCCCAAGATGTATGCACTCGGCGTCGCGCTCCACGGACCCCTGAACACAACCCGCGCCCCGACGCCGAACCGCACCTCAATGCACGTATGACCGCCTTGTAATCCTATCAAAATACTTTGGCACCATGCCGCCATGCTCACTTCTTGCATTGTGTTCCTGACGTTTTGGCCCTCTGGGCGACGGATGGACTCCTCGCTAGGGGGCGTCTACGCTTGACAGCGGCCCTGTAAGAAATATTGCCTCCTCCTCTTGCATTAAGCCTTCGCCGAGTCGCGGTCGGCTCCGTGCAACTGGATGCTTGACCTTCCAGCAAAACGCAGAAAGGCACAGTCATCTCCGCTGGCAGAGCCGAGTTTCTCGGAGGGGACGAGAGCTTGCAGGGGGAAGGGTTCGACAGAATTCTCCGAGGTGACGACCCCGATTGTGGCCACGTTGCGGGCGCGCCACAGATGGTACCTCGCCCGTCGAACACACGCGGCGCCTGGCGACCTTCCAGGGTGCACGCCGGGGCAGATGTTCAAGCTTCCACCCACACGTCATGCCCCTTCGCCTGGAGGCCCTCCGGTATGGACGCCGGCGACAGAAACAGGCGAGCCGTATAGCATGCGCCGCGCGGGAGTCGCGAAAATCTCCTCACCGCAGTCGAGCGTCACGACAAGCGCGACCCGACCGAAGCCCTCCTCCGCACAGCGCCTCTTGAAGTCGACGAACGACTTCGCGGTTAACGCGTCTGCCACGCACTCGCTGTTGCTGTTGATCACTCGGACCGTTGCCATTTAGGATGGCACAGACGCCATGTTAGGCGGGGCGACTCGGGTAGCACGTTTGAGCGTGGCACGGCTCTCGGCGTTTGAGCTTTCGCTTTCGGCGTCGTAGCCTCTTCCTGCGACTGCTCATCACTCCAACTAATTCCTTGAGCAGCCGCACGTGCGTCGCGCGATGCCGTTCTTCGAAGCTCGCCTTGATCGCGGTAACGCTGCCTTCGGCCTTCCTATAAGGAGTAGCATACAGGCCAGGCTGGTAGAGCACGCGTTTTGTGTTCAGCCGCCGCCTGTCTGAACGAATCCTCACCGATGGTCGCCGGAATGAAGGCAATTTGATCCAGCCATCGCCTCCGGCCGCATCATCATTTCTTCGATAGTTTTACAGTGTGCGCCGAGGCTGCGCTCCGTCCATGCGACGACCGACGGACCGAGAGGACAGCTATCTGGCGCGGTGTCGTTAACAAATGGTTCGCCACCCCAAAACCTGGAGAGCAAAGAGAACACATACCGGAAAACCTTCCTGGCAAGCCCACGGAAGCACGCGTGAAGCTCTGCTGGGGCTCTGGGGGGCCCCCCGGCAGCGCTTCCGAAGCACTGCCAAAAACGCTTCCACGCGTGCCTGCACGCGTGCGGGCACGCGTGGAAGCTTGCCGGAAGCTCTCCCGGACACGTTGCTGGGTCGAACGAGCTGCTGCGAGAATTCTGGACCGGCGGAGATGGGCTGCTGGCGGGCACCACCACCGTCCGGCTTCTAATCTTAAGCCCTTTAGCTCTCAGCGAGCTCTCCGGGAAAAACCCGGAGAGCAAAGAGGACACACATTGGAAACTGGGCGCCGGCAGTAAACCGTCAACCTTGGTTACCGCCGGGAGACTCGTAGAGCTTCCTAGCTCGACTTAAGTTTCGAAAACCGACAGCACCTACCAACATTCCGACTTATAGTGAATATTTTTTGACCTCTGAATGCGACTCTGATGTCTGCGAATCGACTCCTGTCATAACCAGCCTTGCAGCCCCCCTAGAGCCCGAGTTAAGTGCAGAAAACCGACAGTACCTCTCAGGATGACTCGAACAACACAGTAGTTTCGCAGAGCTAATTCGGGCAGCAGACCGAGTTCCGAGCTCTGCATTCGACAGGCGGACGCGCCTGATGTCTTCAAATCGACTCCTGTGACCCAACGCGAAAGAAAACCGAGAGCACTTCAAGATGACTCGACCAATACGAATAGTTTCGCGATGCTAGATCGGGCAGCAGACTGAGTTCAGAGCTCTAGATTGGACAGACAAACGCAAGTGATAATTCTCAATTGGTTTCTGTAAATATTAGCTCTGTAGCTGTCCTACAGCTCGAGTTAAGTACAGGAAACCGAGAGTTCCTGAAGATGACTGGAATAATACGAATAGGATTCTGGACCTAGCTCGGCTAACCGACCGAGTTAAGACCTCTGGACTTAACAGTCGAACGCGCCTAATCATTCTACATCCATTAGCTGTGCTTACCAGCTCTGTAGCTGTCCTGAAGCTCGAGTTAGGTTCAGAAAACTGTCAGCGCGTATCAAGATGACTCAAAACGGCCGATCCCGCCACAGTGCTTTTCAATAGTAAGATTCACCCGATCGAGCTAAGATCAAGATGGCGAGTGGGAATAAGATCGAATATCACAGGAAAAAATACTAGAGCTCTAACGAATTGTTGAATTTCGAGAACAAAATTTTCAACCGACCAAAAGTCAGCAAAAGTTCCGTCGAGATTTTTCTTGCCAACTAGCTCTCCAGCGCGCCGGAATTACTGGGAACCGGCGGTAACCGTCAACCAGGTTACCGCCGGGACCCTCGTAGAGCTCTGCATAGAACAGGTCGAGATAACAGCAGAAAAAAGCTTCTCCATACTAGCTTCAAACATAAAGACATTTTGTTTTCGGTCGTACACAATGGTGGTTCCCCCTAGTCTTTTAATCGAAATAATCCAGCTAGGGCCCTGAGTATTGCACCATCGAAAGCGCCATGATTCACTGCATAGAATAAAAATTCAAATTTGCGAAACGAATTTCGAAATATCTCGCCATCTTCGGAAAACCGACCCCAGGTCATCACATTGTCCGCCCGGGCCGGGTTGGCCAACTAGCTGCACTCCGCGCCGAAATTCCTCTGGCTCATCGATGCCGAAGAGCTCTACGAGGTACAGTCAGCGGTTCCCTCAAGTCTTTTGATAGAAATATTGCGGCTATTCACAGCCGTAAGCGCAATAAACCACTACAGATGGGAAAAATATCTGTTCTCAAAACGAACTTTCAAACTGGCACCGGCGGTGAACCTTCAACCTAGTCACCGCCAGGAACCTCGTAGAGCTCCTGGCACGCGTAAGAGTGCTCAGCATCAAAAGAGAGGGCTTCTGGAAGCATTTCTCGAAAAGAGAATGACTTTTTTCATGTCGACATGAAGTTGGTTCCGCCAAGTGTTTTCATTGTAAAAGCGCATCTAGGGACCTCATATTAAGACGCGGAGGCCCTCTCAGTTGTTTAGAGGTGCGAACAATCTGCTTTCTTAAAATAAATGGTCAAATATCTTTCAAATACTGGGCGCCGGCGGTAAACCGTCAACTTTGGTTACCGCCGGGAGACTCGTAGAGCTTCCTAGCTCGACTTAAGGTAGAAAACCAACAGCACCTACCAACATTCCGACTCATAGTGAATATTTTTTACCTCTGAATGCGACAGGCGGACCAGCGCGAGTTGAGTGAAGGAAACCGACAGCACTTCTCAAGATAACTCGACCAATACGAATAGTTTCGCGATTCTAGACGGGCAGACAAACGCAACTGATGATTCTGAATCGATTTCTGTGAATATTAGCTCTGTAGCTGTTCTACAGCTCGAGTTAAGTACATAAAACCGAAAGTTCCTGTCAAGATCACTCGAATAATACAAATAGGTTTGCAGGCCTAGCTCGGCTAATAGACCGAGTTCAGACTCTCGATTCAACAGGCGAACAAGCATAATCATTCTACATCGATTAGCGGTGCTTACCAGCTCTGTAGCTGTCCTGTAGCTCGAGTTAAGTACAGAAAACTGGAAGGGTCTGTCAAGATGACTCGAATAATACGAATAGGTTTGCGGACCTAGCTCAGCTAGCAGACCGAGTTCAGACCTCTGGATTCAACAGGCGAACGCGCCTAATCATTCTGAATCGATTAGCTGTTCTTAACAGCTCTGCAGCTGTCCTAAAGCTCGAGCTATGTCCAGACAACTGTCAGCGCGTATCAAGATGACTCAAAACGGCCGATCCCGCCACAGTGCTTTTCGATAGTAAGAGTCACCCGATCGAGCTGAGATCAAGATGGCGAGCGCGAATAAGATCGACTATCACAGGAAAAAATACTAGAGCTCTAACGAATGTTCAAATTTCGAGAACAAAATTTTCAACCGACCAAAAATCAGCAAAAGTTCCGTCGAGATTTTCCTTGCCAACTAGCTCTCCAGCGCGCCGGAATTACTCTGAAGCTTCCAGCAACTAGCTTAGGGAAGCTCTACGAGTCATTAGCAAAACCACCCAAAAGTTCCCACATTGCTTGCCTCGGCCGGGTGGGCCAACTAGCTGCACCCGCGCCGGAATTCCTCTAGCTCATCGATGCCGAAGAGCTCTACGAGGTATTTCACACAGAATAGAAAAACGCATCCAAAGTTATCATATTGTCTCTTAACGTCGGGTCTGCCAACTGGCGCCGGCGGTGAACCGTCAACCTGGTCACCGCCGGGAACCTCGCAGAGCTCCTTCCACGCGTAAGAGTGCTCAGCATCAAAGGGAGCGCTTCTGGAAGCATTTCTCAAAAAAGAAAAAAGATAATTTTTTCAGGTCAAGATAAAGTT